CCCGCTCCCGCCTGTGCGCGCAGCCGTTGCCGGTCCCACTGCCGCAGCTGCCCCGGCTCCTCGCCCGGGCCTGCATCTTCGTCCCAGGAGACTCCATTCTCAAGGCCCCGGATCAGGCGCTCGAGCTGCGCCTTGGCGCGTGCCGGCTGCATGGTCGCAGCGCGGCAGCGCGACCGTTGCACAGTGCTGCAACGCGACAGGGGTCAACAACGCCTAGCACTGTTTGAGGCCTCGGGGTTCAAAGCTACTATTGCCACAATATTAAATTACAAGTACCCGCGGGTGACTGTGAAACTCGACCTGAGGGTGGGGCCCGGTGGTCTGGCGCCAGTGATCACAGATTTGCGCGCCGATTGTTTTCCAGAGCAATAAAAGGCCGTGATGAGATTCAACTTTTCGGCGTCTGCTGTAAGTGCAGAGGTGGTGTCACACTAGGGATACCGTAATTGCCGTCGACTGGGTTGGGCTGGGCGCTCATGCACCTGCGCTCACCCACCCCGGAGAGACCCACACTCACAACAGCATGCTGGCCAAAGCTGTTGAGACCACCCCAGCACACTGGGTCAGTGCAATCCTGGTGGGGCAGCAGAAATCCCATACACCTCTACAGCACCATTTCAGGTTGTCGCACCGCCTTGTGACGTGATTACAGTGGCTCTGACATACATCAGGTGGCCACAGCATGTGTGGGAACCCAAGTGACTACAGCACGCATGAGAAGCGTGCGCAACCAACGACAAATGGCGAGTGAACCTAAGTGATGGGCATACAAATCCTGTAAAACAGCTTGACAATTGCCGCCTACAGGCGGGCCCGTGCGGGTGTGTACACCAAATGCCTCTCATGCACAAACCATGGAAATTGTGGCATGCCACACCTGGCGTGTTGGCTGCTGCACTACCCACACGCTGTCAATCATTGCTGTCCTTGATACCTCCAGTAACTTTATGACTCGATCCACCACAACAGCAAAACGTGACGTTCCTGTTGCTAGTCACTGGTGTGGCTTCTGCTATGATGTCGCCTGCCACCCCTGGCTTCCAACCAGGGCTGGCCTGCGCCCTGCTGTACATGAGAGCCGCCACAGTTGTGCCGCCACACCGAGCGTCTCTCTTGCTGAGAGAACTTTCGCGTCATTGCTGCCTTAAGCAGCGAGCACAACATGGCCAGAAGGCATGCACAGCTGGCGGGCGAACCAGCCACCCCAGCCAAGCGCTACTCCTGCTGCTGCTGCTGCTGCTGCTGCTGCTGCTGCTGCTGCTGCTGCTGCTGCTGCTGCTGCTGCTGTTGCTGCTGCTGCTGCTGCTGCTGCACGGGTCCCAAAGCAGGGCAAGACAAAATGAGCGTGCGAGCGCCATTGCTATGACGTTGGTGTGAGCAAGACATGAGGCAACAGCCGTGCTGCGTGTGCGCCGAGGAAGCTTGCCGTTATGAGCAGCCACGGAAGCGTCTGGGCGGCGTCACAGGATGGATGCCGCAGCAACCACCGCCGGGCAAGGGTTTCAGCCCCAGTCTTCATTCCGATTTGTAGTACAGCTTACAGGTGCGCCCCTCAAGCTCGGACGCCGCACAATCCCGCTCGCAGCAGCACTAGCTTTGACAGTGAGGTACCAACAAGCGTTTGAAATCCATCATGGCAGCATTCGCTGGCCCACGGCCGCAGGGAGGGAGGGCCCGCGGTTGTATCAGAGCAGGCCATGAGGGGTGGGTGGCGTGTTGCCCACTCACGGCTGCACAGCAGTACGTGCAATATCATGGCACACACACGGCTCCCTAACATGCACGTCTTCAAGCACCAAAAAACTTCCAAAAGTCATCCACCATGGCCGATACGCAACCGCATTGGCTTCCACTACCTGGCGACAACTGCCCAGCAGCTACGGTATGCCACGCTGTGCACAGTCATAGCTCAGGATCTCAGCGGGGCCTGGCGGAGCCTTGGCTGAGCATCTCATAAGTTGCGTGGTTGTATCGTTGTGACACTGTGCGAGTTGAAGCGAGTGTGGCGCGCGCGTTCATACCTTCCTCCTGTTGATCACGGTGCCGCGCCAAACAAACGCGAACAACGTGTGACAAAGAGCATCAAATCATCGATCGAGCTGATACGAGCGCCCTCTACGGTCGTCGATCGCCATACAAAGGAAGGATTGAGACTGAGATTCAGGCAGCCATAACGCCGCGCCCCCCCGCAGGGGAGCTCAGGAGCGCTCCGTCGTGTTGGGAGAATTGGTGCGTGTCTGGGGGCGCGACTCACACTGGCTGACGCAGGAACACTCAACTCACTCTTATGTTGATGTGCAGAAGCGCGCCTCTGATGCGGCCCGCAGGCCTGAGCTGCCACCAAATCACATTGCATTCCAAGGTTGTGCAGGGGCCAGTACATGCTTCTGCTCAACCCCGCGCCCCATCCCGGCCCTTCATTTCATCACAGGGACGCTTGCACCCGAGACCCAGCCAGCGTGAGAGCGACCGCTGCAGGTGTGGCCAGCCGGGTTCGAGCTTTCAGGGTGAGCGCCAGCTGCCTGCTCTGCCCTATCATTGTTTGTGCGCGCCTCGTAGACCCAAGGTTTGAGCCCGTGACGGCTTACAATCGCGCACGATTGCCATCCCCAGGAGCCTCTGCTGCCCCTGGGAGCCTTGCGGCGCCTGTGGGTGTTGAGGGAGTCATGTTAGGAGAACTTGATCCACCAGGTCGCGTGCGCGGGCATCCGCGCCTGCGTGCACGTCAGCCAACAGCGACCACCACACCCACCTAACATACTGCTGCCTTCCCGTGTCTGCACACCCCAGGAACGGCGGGGCCGTCGACTGGGAATCTGCCCGCGCACAGCAGCATCCGGCCCGCACGCTCCCACATGGCTGGTCAGCCCAAGGCAACGGGGCCAAGGCTCCTGCCGACGCTCCGCTGCCTCCTGGTCCTGGCGGCAGCAGCACGCGCCGCCGCCGAGCTGCATTTCCAGCCGCCGCTCGTGATTCACTCCGAGTTTGACCCCCAATCCTACTGGCTCATCGCCGAGAACTTCCAAGGGCGCGGCGGCCGCGACGGCGGCAGCGGCGGCACAGCGACGCATCAGCTGCCGTCCCTCATAACGGGCTCGCTCAACGGCCCAATCCTGTGGCACGTCAGGTCGGCAGGAACCAGCGGGGCCCGCGGCAGCGGTGGCGCGCGGGACGGGGCGCGGTGGGAGACGTTTGAGATTGCAAACCTGAAGGGCGCCGTGCACGCCGCGCCCGTGGACGTCAACTGGGACGGGCTGCTGGACCTTATAGTGGCCTACGCCTTTGGGCCCGGCTGCCCCTCTGACTGCTCCAAGGACGACGGGCGGCTGGCCTACCTCGAAAACCCGGGCGGCGAGTTCGGGGTCGCGTGGCGGGTCGTGGACATCGGGAAGACGCGCCACCCGGCTCACCGCGTGGCGGTCCTCAATAGGGAGGACCGCGCCCGCGCGCGCATCGTCGGCGTGCCCGTCGCCGGCGTCGCGGACAAGTCGCTGGACGACCCCATGTACAGCCCCTCGGAGGTCTTCGCGCTCTCGCTGCCGCCGCTGGGCGCGGTGCACGACCCCGACGCGTGGCGGGCGACAGAGCGGGTGGTCGCGGCCGACCTCACCATCTGCCACGACGGCCGGCCCTGGTCCGGCGTGCTCGGCGGCGGCGGCAGCGACGGCGCCGCGGCCGGCGCGCGCCCGCACGGGGCGGCGCTGCTGCTGGCGTGCTCCCAAGGGCTCATCTCCTACGACTTCACAACCTCGGACGACGGCCAGCGTGACGAGTGGCGGCGGATCGGGGAACAGGCCTTTACCTTGGACTCGGACGCAAAGTACAAGGGACTGTCATCGGCGGTCCAGATTGGGGAGAGCTCTTTTGCCTTTATCGGGCCCTACCACGGCAACACTTTCGGCATCAGCACCGCCGACGGCCCACCTGGGTGGGTGGACCAACCACAATCCATCAATTCGACCCGAGCGTAGTAGGGCCGCGTTGTTTGGAGGGACACACATGTGGGGGTTGACGTGCGATCAGGGAACGAGAACGTGCCAGCCAGTTGCTTGAGTTGGGGGTGTGCGCGTGCGAGCTGGCTTGTGGGAGAGGCGGGGTGGCACGGCTGTTGCGTCGCAGGCCTTCCTTGAGCGTTGAAACAGACCGCCATTCGGTCATCAGCATGAGGACATGCATACCGTCATGCATTTGATGGACAGCATCACTCGCCTCGCAAGCCCCGAACCCCACCTTAAACGTCCCCGCACCTGCCCTTGCTTGTCGTCGCCCTGCACCGCCCCCCCCCCAGCTCCCAGCAGCAGGTGGTCCTGAAGGACGTGGTGGGGCAGGGCGGCCACGACGTGCAGCTGCTGGCCGGGGCTGACGGCGTGGATCACGTGATTGCGGCCTTCAGGGACGAGGCGCGCGGCATCTACGTGTACTCGCCGGACCAGCACGGTAGGGGGGCTGTCGTGGTTCTGCTGCACACCGTGGGAAAGGCAGCCGCAGGGGGGTGATGCGTGATCAGCCGGATGACGATGGCCGCCTCAGGGCTGTGAATCTTGTACGTGTGGCTGCGGCTGGACACACCCGCTCTTCTCGCGTGCACCCACCCTTCCCTGCACTCAATCAAACCCATTGGCGTGCAGGCGGCAAGAAAGGGGCCGCGGCCACGGGCACCCTGCTGCCCCCCGCTGATGGGAGCGCGGCGGCCTGGCGGCGGCGGAAGATCTATGGAGGCCCGGTGTCCATGACGGCGGTCGCCGATATTGATGGGGACGGGCTGCAGGACCTGGCGTCCATAAACTGGGGCCAGAAGGACGACTCCAGCGTCGTGGTCCACTACCAAGCAGCGCCCCCCGAACCCGACCACATCTCTGAGCTGTGAATATAGTGTTGCCTGGATAAGGTGCGACGTTGCTGATAAATAGTGTTGTAATTGACGAGTTGGTGCGACACCATGCAGCGGTTGTCTGTGTACGTGCGAGACAGTGATGCAGCTGCTTGGGCCGTGCTTTGGTTGGGGGTGGAAGCGCTAGAGCAGGGGTGGTTTGGACGTGTGAAGTGCACTCGGTTCCACTACCATTGGTTTGCAATGCCCCTGCCACAAATCCACGCTTTGTAACCCACACACCGGTTAGCCCCAACGCCCTGACCTTTGCATGCGTCTTGGTGACGCACAGCGCACGCACACTTGTTACAACCCCGTTATCAGTACGGCAAGTAATGGCCCGTCTGCATAACCTAGAGAGAGAGTGCAATGTTGACCGCTGCTTTGCGTGACCGTGCCTGAAAGGACAGCTGATGCAGATTGACACAGTATGGACACTTGAAGGAAGGAGCGCGTGCCATGTAAACATACAAAAGGAGCAGTTCCAAAGTTGACGATAGACAATGGATGAACACAATGATGCAGCATCAAATTGGCTCAAGGCAGCCCTGAAGAAACTCAGCTGGTTTGAGAGTTGACAGTATGGTTTTCTGCCATGTGTTTCACGTCACACTGCTGGCACGCAGTTGAGCAACACTGACACAGCCAGCTGGTGAAGTGCAGGGGATGCCACCACAGGTGAGCTGACAGCTAGGGTATCACACGCATCGAAACGCATCACGCAAGAAAACCTCTCAGCTGCGACAGGCAATCCGCCAGGCGCCCCAATCGCTGCGCAGATCCATGCCACGCCTCAGCCGCTACCGCCCCGCTGCCGAGCCGCCGCCGCCGGCCGCTGCCCCCGCCCTCTGCTGCTGCGGGTGCCGGGGAACCGGCTGTTGCATTAGCTGTGCTGCCATTCGCCGATGCAAGCGACACCTGCGGTAGGGGACTGGCTTGTGGGCCTGGGCTAGGGGATTGCCCACCGCC